TCTCAAACTACAGTCTGTGGGCTCCTTTTCCTGCTGGTACCTCTGTGCACCACACGCTCAGCGCACCTCCAGGCTGTCCTGGAGGACAACAGTGGGAGTGGAGACAATCCAGGTGCTGCCTCCATCTTCCCTTCCATCAGTGTGAATTTGGGGGTGAGTCCTACATCCGAGACTGTTGCTGTCAACGGCACCTCAACATCAATCAGCATCTTGGACAGGGTTGTGAATATCTTCAAAGAGTACATGCTGCTAATCATTGTGGTAGGGTCCCTAGTTTTTCTGCTGTTCTTCATTCTATGTGCAGCCGTCATTGTCAGGCAGACACACAAGGCCTCAGCCTATTACCCATCATCTTTTCCTAAGAAGAAGTACGTGGACCAGAATGACAGGTCAGGGGGTGCCAAAGCTTTCAACGAAGTTCCTGAAAAGGCTCCTGAGACCCACCCAGAGGAACCCGTGGATTCATCCAAACAGCTACAAGCAGACATTTTAGCTGCTGCTCAGAACTTGAAATCCCCAGCTAAGATCTCTATGGCAAATGGGGATGGGAGCAAAGTCGAGGAAAAGGCCCCCAAAGAACAGGAGGAAGGGGATGAAGAGGAGCAAGGCAAACACACAGCTGAGTGCATTCCTAAAGAACAGGAGAAAGCTGACCCAGCAAAAGAGATGCCGGCTCCAAGTTGCGCTGTGGAAATGGAGGTCAAAGGAGAAGAACTTGCCTCCACTGAGGAAGTTCAGCTTGTGCAGCAAGTGAATGCATCATCGCCAGAGGAGCCCAAAGAATGCCCTGGGGCTGATGATCCTGCTGTGCAAGCCACTGAAGGGGAGAAACAAGATGTGTCTGTTCCAGTGGGTCCTGATACCAGTGCTGCAGGTGTCTAACATAGGAACTCGGGCGCTGGAAAAACAAACCTGCGTTCCTGAACAATCACCATTCATCAGCTGACTGCGTCATTGATTTAGAAACTGATTCAACATGCAATGGGCTATTTTTATATTCAGTGGGCACAATAGATACCTCTGTCATTGTACCAGGCATGGTGCCCAACTCTAATATCAAAACTTATTCAATTTAGTACACTATTTTGCATTAGCAGACCATTCAGTTACTGTGTAATTGCTTAGTGGCTCTCACTTACAGTCAATCCATATATAGTGGTTAGGGATGGATACGGTCAGAGTCCATGACCTAACTTTCAGGATCTGGAATGAAATTTTGGGGCATAAGCCTGTCTTGAATTGTGGCCTTTAATTATATAGAGTAGGACCAGTCATTTATATGGCACCACTTCTGCGGGTTCATACCTAGGTATCTAGGGGAAATCAATGAACGTTTTGCCTGAATTAAAAACTGTGTGAGCATCTAAGGATTTGAACTCTACTTGGTGGGAAATCTAGGGCCTTTATTCATTATTAGGGTCAACATATAGTGACAGAAGAATTTCCAGGCAAGTCTTTGTTCTCTGTAATATAAGCTGTTGCTGGGCTTTCTTGCAAATGTTATTTTTCTGATTCATTTTTATACTATTTGATGGAGGACTTTTGGTATAAAAGAAATTCTGTATGTGGAGTGAGCGACTCTAGATGGGCTTTTGGACCTCACCCTCTCAAATGGTCTGAAGGGGGGGCAGGGAAGGGTGCTTTATATAATGGGCAGCTGGACCATGTAATTCCATCTAGTGCGAAGAATCTTGCTTTTAAATATAACCTCAGACTTTTTGTCTGGCATTGTATTACTGATATTTATGACCTTCTGTGATTTTTTCCCCCAAATATCCTGATCTTCAAAGGACTATAAGAAAGAACATGTATCTCTTTGTAGCTTTCCACAACTGATAGAGTTTTACAGTTGTTTTCTTTGGCCTCCATACTTTGTTTCAGTGTATAATAATAATTATTGATTTAAAAAGAGTAAGCTTCTTTATATCCACTGATTAACTGTTCCTTACAGAGGTTACTATGACCCACAAACATATATTTTACTCAGGGTTTCCATTAAAAAATTACAACCATAACAACTTGACTAAAGATACTAGGGAATGGACAGGGAGGAGAAAGAGAAATCTAATAAGTTACCTGTTAAATTTTATGCCAACATTCCACTGATTTCTTAAAGAAAATTCCTGTTTGCAATTATTTCAGGATGTTTTTCTTACCTCCCTTTTCCACCCAAATTATTAATAAAAATTGTTTCTATGCAGATGTGTTTTGTGTTTCCATGGCCATGAAAATGAGGAGGATGGCTTTTTAATTGTGGTGTTGTAAACTTGTTTTATGGAGCTGCCTTGAAACCCCTGTCAAGCTGACTGGACTGGTTCACAACCATGAGTGCTGAGCTCGGTAGACTGTCCAAAACAGGGCAGACACCTCAAACTGGTGTATGTCCTGTACAGGATTTCGTCATTTAACACTATAGATATGTTTCAGAAGATGATCGTGTTATGCGGGGTCAATTTTCCCATTGAAAATAATGGAATAGGTGGGGGTTGTGTTTTAAGCAGTGGTGTCTGTTGGGACTGGGATATAAGGTTGGGGGAGAAAGAGGACTGGGTTAGAGCAGGGAGGGGAGGTGTTTCCCTTTGGGGAAGGGGAGGGAAGAAGAGGGGAGGGAGATTGGGTTGGGAGTATGCCCCTGTGACGGGTCTGCTGGGACCCGAACTGAGTCTGGCAAAGGGGAGTCAGCAGGGAACGGCACGGTGAGCAGCGAACCCTCCACTGCTTTGCAGGGAGGTGGGGGAAGCCCCGCGCAGCCACCGGCAATTGGCCGGCTGGGGAAATCATGTTATTCTGGGGATGGTCGTGTAATTCAAAAAACATTCCCTTAAAAAAAAATTGTGCTATTGCAAAAACATGTTAAGTGGGCACATGTTAAATGAGGAATTACTGTAATTAGACTTCATCAAGTCAGTTCCAAATAGGGTTCCAGGAGTTCCCGTGGAGTCATAGACTGGAGAATCTGGCTATCTGGCCAGCCGGGCACGCTAGACTTAGTGACAAATGCACACTTACACCAAAAATCACAATGTATTCAGATTGCTTCCAGTCCCAGGAAATCATTCACTTACCCAGATCAACTGGTACCCTAGATCTTACACCAAAGATAGGACTGGCTACAGGTGTTATCTAAACATTTACTAACTAGGAAAAAAGCAAGAGGGTGTGTGTGTGTTGTTTTTTTAAAAAAAAACACAGGTTAAAGCAAGCAATCACACACCAATGAATAACTAAAGATGACAGACATGATAATCTGTCAATTCAAAACGTCTTTCAGGTCGGACCCTCAGGTAACCCTAGGGAGCACTGTTTTAGTTTACTATCTGTGGCCCCATGACTTCAGACAGCATAGATATGAACAGTCTTCATTTTAACTTTTTATGTCCCTCTTAACGTAGTGAATACAAGCAGAGAGAGGGTAAGTTTAGAAGATAGGATACACAAAGAACAAGTTAAAAATCACTTAGGAAAGTTAGATGTCAGCAAGTCACCAGGTCCTGATGAAATGCATCCCAGGATACTCAAGGAGCTGATAGAGGAGGTATCTGAGCCTTTAGCTATGATCTTTGAAAAATCATGGCAGACAGGGGAGATTCCAGAAGACTGGAAAAGGGCAAATATTGTGCCCATCTATAAAAAGGGGAATAAGAACAACCCAGGAAACTATAGACCGGTCAGTTTAACGTCTGTCCCAGGGAAGATAATGGAGCAGGTAATTAAGGAAATCATATGCAAACACTTGGAAGGTAATAAAGTGATAGGGAATAGCCAGCATGGGTTTGTGAAGAACAAGTCATGCCAAACTAATCTGATAGCTTTCTTTGATAAGATAACGAGCCTTGTGGATAAGGGAGAAGCGGTGGATGTCATATACCTAGACTTTAGTAAGGCATTTGATACGGTCTCGCATGATATTCTTATTGATAAACTAGGCAAATATAACTTAGATAGGGCCACGATAAAGTGGGTGCATAATTGGCTGGATAACCGTAGTCAGAGAGTGGTTGTTAACGGTTCTAAATCCTGCTGGAAAGGGATAACAAGTGGAGTTCCTCAAGGGTCTGTTTTGGGACCCATACTGTTCAATATCTTCATCAATGATGTAGATATTGGGATAGAGAGTACGCTTATTAAGTTTGCAGATGATACCAAACTGGGTGGGGTTGCGACTTCTTTGGAGGATAGGGACATAATTCAGAATGACCTTAGCAAGTTAGAGAAATGGTCGGAGGTAAACAGGATGAGGTTTAATAAAGAGAAATGCAAAGTGCTCCACTTAGGAAGGAACAATCAGTTCCATACATACAAGATGGGAAGCGACTGTCTAGGAAGGAGCATGGCGGAAAGGGATCTAGGGGTCATAGTGGACCACAAGTTGAATATGAGTCAACAGTGTGATGCTGTTGCAAAAAAAGCAAATATGATTCTAGGTTGTATCAACAGGTGTGTTGTAAGCAAAACTCGTGAAGTCATTCTGCCGCTCTACTCTGCACTAGTTAGGCCTCAGCTGGAGTACTGTGTCCAGTTCTGGGCGCCACATTTCAAGAAAGATGTGGAGAAATTGGAAAGGGTACAGAGAAGAGCGACAAGAATGATTAAAGGTTTAGAGAACATGACCTATGAAGCCAGGCTTCATGAACTGGGCTTGTTTAGTTTGGAAAAAAGAAGATTAAGGGGGGACATGATAGCGGTTTTCAAATATCTAAAAGGGTGTCACAAGGAGGAAGGAGAAAATTTGTTCCTCTTGGTTTCTGAGGACAGGACAAGGAGTAATGGGCTTAAAGTGCAGCAGGGGAGGTTTAGATTGGACATTAGGAAAAAATTCCTAACTGTCAGGGTGGTCAAATATTGGAATAAATTGCCAAGGGAGGTGGTGGAATCTCCCTCTCTGGAGATATTTAAGAACAGGTTAGATAGACATCTGTCAGGGATGGTGTAGACGGAGCTTGATCCTGCCTTGAGGGCGGGGGGCTGGACTCGATGACCTCTCGAGGTCCCTTCCAGTCCTATGATTCTATGATTCTATGATTCTTCCAGCATTCAAAGGGATAGGACAAGGCCCTCTGTGTGTACTAATCCCCCCTGGGTGGATGAGGCAATAAACAAAGCTTTTGTTTTATAATGGCTCATTTAATTTTTGGTAGTCCTCTTGAATGGAAGAAAAGGGAAAATTCCCATGCCTGGGTTCACAATTGTAGAACAAACAATTTCAGTTATAAATCAAAACCAGCATTTATTTTATAGCATGGAACAAAGATATTACAAGTGATATTAAGACACACAGCAATTTACCAGCCTTTCAAAGAAATGAAACACTCATAAGTGTTCTGATAAGACTCTTACCTATTTCGAACAAAACTAATGTACAGGAGTGGGTGGGTGGGTTGGTTTCCAGCTATGAGTCTGCCAGTTCTTAACTAATGCCTGCAGTTTTGTTTACTAGTGTTTCAGCTCCCAACTGTGAGCAAGGCTCAAGATTTAGTGCATATGTTGCATAAAAACCACATCAGGCAACCTGCCTACTAACTGCCACTCCACCCCTTCCTTGTGATTTGTTATCTGTCCACGTCTCCTAGACGGGCTCAATAGAAACAAACAATTTTAATGGCGACTTTCTGAGGTTTAAGCAGAAGTCTCAATGCCATGTCTGGAAAAAGCTGCCGTCAATGTATTTCTCCCCTGGGATTAAAACAGGAAATAGCTGACATAGCTCTGGCCCTAGGAAAGAGCAGAGTGGGAACAGCTGATTTCCTGTGCATTTACCCTGACCTGCTTGGTTCTCTGCTGGCGCGCCATTAGTCACTGCAGTAAGGTAGGCCTCTTCCCAGGAAGAGAGGTTTTCAGATGGATTTCTGTTTCGGCTCTTTTTCTACTCTCCAGATTTTGGGCAATGTTCGGCTCTGTTTCCTTGGTGTGACTCCTCCCTCCCCCCACCCCCACATCAACTCACTGGCTTCCCTAGTAGGGGGGATTCACAGCAGTATACCTGAGAGCAGAGAGTAGCCCTCTGCATTGCACTGTGTTCCTCAGAGACCTCAGTGGTCCGGTTGCCCTCTCTGCTCACACCCACAGCTTCCTCCATCTACAGTTCTGCCACAACCATACCGGGAAGGATGAACCAGTGCCCTGAACCTGCAGTGACCTCCACATGGGGGAGCCTTGCGGGACTGGACAGTAAGGGTTCAGGCCTAGATCTTCAGAGCTTTTTAGGCTCCTTGGTTAGGGGATTTGGGCTTTCGCCTCCATCCCAGGGGCAAGCATTCTACCGGCAGAGAGCAAAACCCTGCAAAGCCCTCAGGAGCGGGGCTTTCTTTGTCAATGTGCCTCTCTGCAGTGAGACTAAAGGTGTCTGGCGCTGGATTCAAAATACACAGTTTGGAGTGGGTTGGCGTATCCTGCCAACTGGAGCACAGTGTAAATCACAGAGGGAAGATGCACCACTAGCAGGAGTAGGATGAAATGAACCAACCCTGGCATGAAAAGATCAGGATAAACTCCACAGAGATCAGGCCTTCTGAACTGTGGGTCCTTTCTCAAGTGCCAACGATAGGGAGCACCAATGCTTAGAGCAAGAAACATCCTGAGTCTCACCCTCTCTCCAGGATGTGGGCTAGAAGGGATGGAATAAGCCTTTTCTACCTCTAATTGATATGGTCTTCAGAAGAGGGCAATAATGAATGCAAATAAAACATCAATGGAGCTGGTCGAGGCCTTTGGACTGTGAAATGAGGAATAACAGACCACACCCCAGCCCCGCAGAGGGAGCCCAGCAAAGTTTGGCTCCTGTTCCATCCAAATCACATGTGAGCATGCATGTGTGTGTATGTGTAGGTTGATGGCAACTGCACTCTTTGTCACATGGGAAAGCACAAAAGTAGTAGGGAGATAAAAGTAAAATTTTACGAAGAAGGGGATGTTTTGGAAATATCCTTTTATCTCTGCAAAAAAATAGCTTCTTTAAAATGGACTTCACTGGTTTGGCTAAACTAAACCTGCCTAGAGTCTTAACCAAGTTGTTGCACAACTCAGAAAGCTCACCTCTTTGGCCCATTGTTAGGAGAGTGTGGGATGGGGGCCGTGTGTAGCAGCAGGGTGAATATGAGTATGTATTTGGGGTGTGCATGCTGCCTTGTGGGTTGTATATATATCCTCATATGTGAGGGTGTGCATGCATGGGTGCACATGTGTGGCTAAGTAAGTTTGTGA